TTCTCCATCTCGGTAAATGGCATCACCATTCATTCAGCGGTGACTGCTGTGTTGATCTGTGTGTTTCTCTCACTCGCTACTTCCAGCTCATCCCTTCAGTTCTATTGCCAAAATATTTCTCAAATTTGTCTACTCTTCTCCATCTTTATAGCAACATACCTTAGTCAAAGCTACCATCATCTTTTTTCTAGATTACCACAGTTGCTTACTGGTCTCTTCCATGCTTGGACCTTTTAATTATCCACAGCATTTAAGAAATGTAAATTGAGTCATTGTCAAACCTCCAGGTTTTATTGATCTTGGATTAAATTAGAAAATTCCTAACATGGCTTAAAAACCTCTGCAAGAAATGGCCTCTGCACCCCTCTCCAATCTCGTATTTTCCACTTCTCCCCTTGTTGCTATGCTACAGCTAGACTGGCCTTCTTTCTTTGCTTTTCCTATTTTGGGGCCTTCACATATGTTGTTCTCTTTGCCTGTAATGTTCTTTGCTCTACTTTCTGCCACATATGTAATCATTTAAAATTTTTACTTCTTCAGTGATGCCTTTCATGACAGTCCTCAGTTTACATAATTATCTATACTGCCCCTCCTCCAAGATTCCCAGATATGGTAAAATGTGAACTTGACAGACAGTTTTCCACATGGATACTGATAAAGCTTTAAGGAATATCAAAGTCTGTGTACTTGATTGTTAGAGGTGGCATTGGATACATTCCTTGTTAAAAAATTTAGACATTCAGAAGCCAAATCCTCCTGTTGAAATACTTCTCTAACTACCATGATGGGCTAATGAGATGATTATACTGCCAATCTATGGGTAAATAATACATGTCTGTTATTTTCATCTACAGCATTGAGGAGGACTGTTCAAACTCGCCCTGCTCCACGAATTCCTCCAACCGTGGAAATAATTGAGAAGGAGCAAAACTGGGAAAAGAAGACCCTACCTACTGGCACACACATTCAGAATTCAAGTGAAGAGAATCATCTCTTCACTCAGAGGTGGAGGGTCTCTCACATGGGAGAAGATTCGGAGAACAAAACCCAGGCCCCTTTTGTTAGCCTGTCACAGCCCCTGTGCAATCCCCACTCAAACACTCAGCCAGCGAGAAACCCTGCACTCTCAGATGAGCCCTCAGTACTGGGAGATGGGCAGCAGCTTAGAGCAAATGAGGTGTTAATGCAAAGAAAGGACATCATGGCACGGATTGCTGAGCTGACACTGCAGAATTCAGCTATCAAGGCACATCTGAATAATATTATTGGGCCATGGGGTGAGCAAGGGGATGGACTTCGGGAGTTAAACCAACAGGAGACAAGTCATACTGGTGACATGACTGCTGTGAGTACCAGTTAAGGATTGACTGGGGTCATATAGGAATTTAAGTACATTGCTGGAGCGTCTTAAGGGACTTCTTTCCCGAAGTGATCCTGGGTAATCTTTGAGGCTGCTACTGGATGGCTTATTTTTTGTCTTGTCCTCATCACAAAATAAGCAGAAGTTATTTGTCAGTTTGTATCTCAAAATAAAACAGGACAACATAAAATAAAGAGTGAGGAATGAAGGAGAAAATAGGACAAAGATAAAATGTGTAGGAAAGCTAAAATTAAGCTAGGAATGAAGNGTGCCCCTGGGAGTTCACTCTGGTGCCCCAAGGTGCCTCAGCCTAGTTTGGGGACCATATAGGACTAAACTCCAGGTGGTTAAACACAGAAGTAGTTTATTACAGACACGAGTTACTGGAAAAATTCAGGTGAGACATGGCAGCTTGGTCTAGGCTGGAAGTGGAAGAGATTGTGAAAAGTGACCAAATTCTGAATATATTTTGAAGGCAACCAGTAAGATTTGCTTATGGGTCGGATATGGGATAAAGGAGAATATGTGAGAGAAGAAGAGTGAAGGGTTGACTCCAGAGTTTTGGACTGAGCACTCAAAATGGTAGAGTTGTTATTGATGAAGTAGGGATGTCAGGAGGAATTTGGTTTTGTACATTTTAAGTTTGAGAAGCCTGTGTGAGTTCTATTGTAGATGGAGGTATTGGGTAGGCCATTGGATATATGAGTGTGGAATTTGGGAAAAACCTGTGTGTGTTCATATATATATATTTTTTTTCTTATAACATTTTTTATACATTACCATAAATTTTTATAGTGCTCATGTTTATCATTTTAAATGCCTGTGTAATATTCTGTTGAGTTTCCTCTATCTGATGTATCTGTCTCTTGGGGTAGTTTGAGAGTCAGTCTGTATCATCCATATACAGAGGTTTTGTAAGTCAAAAGCCCTATAAACAGGTTAATTCTTATTGTTGTAGCAACATATTTATTTATTAATAATATTCCATGATTTATTTAACAATCCCTGTATGATGGGACTTTAAAAATATTTATAATTATGTACTCTTATGAATGCATTGTTTTAGTATTTGAATGAAAGTCTGAACTTCCTAGAGTTTTAAAAATAATGATATAGTTATAGATGTCTAGGTGATGCTTTGATGTCTGGTACGCCAGTGGTGTTATTTCCATTCTCCTTTCTCTAGGCGAGACTTCAGCAGTACATGGTCACCACAGATGAGCAACTTATATCGCTCACACATGCCATTAAGAGCTGTCCTGTGATAAACCACAACAAAGAAAGCCTGGCACCAGAAAGAGGAACCATGAATAGAAGAATTACAGGCAATCCAGGTGAGTGGGTCTTATTATCCCAGATTGGCATTAAAATACTTACAGAGTACACAAACAAAACTGTAAACTCACACAGATTTGTTGGCTGTTTATACACATACAGCATTGTCTCTGCTACAGTTGCCAGTCCTCTTTCCAGCTATTATCTATTGGATACTTGCTCTATGCCAGATCATTTTTAAGTATTTTACATGTAGTATGACATTTAATCCTCAAAATAGTCTTAGGGGGTAGGTGATATTGTTATCCCCATTTTTTAGATGAGAAGACTAAGGCCTTGTGAGGGGCTGGTAACTTAGCAAAGTCACACAAACAGGAAGTAGCAGGATTGGCTTCCTACAGCACTGGGAGTTTAATGCCAGACTTTTTAATCATGGTGCCCCAGGTTTAGGAGGAGAACAGGTGGTCTTGGGGAAGGAAAAAAAAAATACTGAGCTTTAGAAATTCTTAACTTGTTC